TCAGTGTGATGAATCATAAAACAGTTGCAATATGTATCGAAGAAAGTGTTACAAACTTCTGGTAAAACCAGTTGTATGTACATTTCGATGTACGGTTACGAAATCTGCCATAATATATGCGTATGGAAGATTCCGAATCTGTACAACCCAATGTATATATATTTGAATGTACAGACCCGAAATCTGCAATAAAATATGCGAATGGCTTATAAGTGGTATACTACTAGGACTCCGGGTGAAGGACATAATTAACAAAAACATAATACCCCGTTAGCAAAACCTACAGGGTGGTCTTGCCAAAAATTTGCCATTAGATATTCCATTATCCGTGTATCTTAAGATATATGTTTACTGTCTCGGAAGCTGCCGTTCTGATCAGTGTCCTGGAAAGTGTGCTGTCCCGGAAGCTACCATTCTAGTCAATGTCCTGGAAAGTGTGTTGTCCCGGAATCTGCCATTTCGTGAATGTCCTGAAAAATGTAGTGTCCCGGAACCTGCCATTCCGTGAATATCCTGGAAAATACGTTGTCTTGAAACCTGTCATTCCATGAATGTCCTGGAAAAATATGATGTCCCGAAACCTGCCATTCTGTGAATGTCCTGGAAAATATTCTGTCCCTGAACCTGCCATTCCGTGTATGTCCTAGAAAAATATGTTGTTCCAGAACCTGCCATTTCGTGAATGTCCTGGAAAAATATGTTGTCCCGGATCCTGCCAATTAGTCAATTCTTCTGTATACATTTGTTGTCCCGGAACATGCCATTCCGTGAATGTCCTGGAAAAATATATTGTCCCAGAACCTGCCAGTCTGTGAATGTCCTGGAAACATATGTTGTCCCGGAACCTGCCAATCTGTCAATGTCCTGGAAGAATATGTGCCCTGGAATCTGCCAATATGTGAGTGTCCTGGAAACTGCCAAATTCGTTTTTTTTTCGAAAACGAGTAAAAATAAATTAATTTTACTTGAATGGAAGGCAGAAAACAACAAAATCTCCCGGTATGTCCCTCTAGACACACACATATATATATATATATATATATATATATATATATATATACATACTGTATATATACATTCTCTAAATATGTAAAGATTTGTAAACGGAATTTTTAACCGATGTTTAAATATTACTTGTACATTTCGTAAATATTTTGGAATATTCCGGAGTTTTCTCGGAACTTTTTAAGGAGTTTTTAGAAATCTTTCGTGAATATTTCGAGAATATTTAGCGTTAGCTGGGAATATTGCAATTTTATTAAAAAATAAACGTATATATTATAATTATGTTATTCCTTATAAACAAATATTACAAATTTACATGCGAATGCATCCAAAACACATTTCTTAATATATTGTCTACTTTTGTGGTCGGATTGAATTCGAACTATAAGATATTATTTATTATTACTTAAAGCCTCTAATGAATTAAGCATCTGCTCTTCATTTGTTATTATATATGAAAAAAAATTAACAATTCGTTACATTATTCATTTCATCATGTTATTCCCTCTTTCCCTACCGGCATTAAAAAGATACAGTTACGATTGATATTCATAATGGACAACATTAATACATTCTATTTTTGAATTAAGCATTCAATTTAAGGTTAAAAATCTTGAAATATACTTTTACTTATCAATTTAATATTACACGATACATTATGTACTATTTATATTTTTGTAAACACAAAATAAAAATTTAAAATAAAAACTTAAAATAAAAACTATTAAATATACAATTTGAAATCACTGTACAAGAATATTCAGATATAATATTTTTTAAGTACTCGATGGAAATATCTAATCCGAAAATGAAAAGTATCAGTGACGCATTTAGAGTATAATATAGTCTTAATTAAGTAGTTAGTTAAATCTTTATTGCATACCCTTGAGGTTACAATTATATACAATTATTTACGTGTATTCTTATCCTAACTTAACCTATCTTACACTAACTTACCCTATCTTATCCTATTTTATCGCCTTTCTCTCTCCCTATACGGCTGGACCTCCGCATCCGGTGTAATACTCCAACAACAACTCTTGCATTCTCATACTCAATAAAATCATTATTATAAAATCATCAGTCCTCCTAACAGAGCCTCTCTCACCCCCTTCCCCCTCTCTCCTTCTCCCCCCTCTCTCTACCATCCCTCACCCTCCCTCCTCTCGTTCCCTAACTCCTTTTTTCTTCCACTTTCTTCCTTTCTTCCTCCACTTCCCTCATCCAACCTCCACCCTCCCCTTCTTCACCCAAAATTCTACCCTCTACCTCCTGTCAGTTTCATATCTTACACTCCAGCTCGTACACTCTTCTCACATATGCCACCCCACTCCCACATAACCTACACTTCCATTCCTTCTCTCCTTCCTAATATCTCACTTCCCTCATCTCATTCCCTAATCTAAATCTGGCTATCCTTCTACATCTCCTCTCTCCCTATCCTTTCCATAAATATACCGGGATCCGCTCTCCTTTTGTCCATCAATACCACCTATTATAATTAGATTTCCTTATCTTTCCTCCTTCTGTATTTCCCTATCTCTTTTTTCCAACTCTTCAAACCTAAACCCTCCCTCCATCTCCCGCCTTTGCCAGCCTTCCAACTCTAATCCCGTCCTTGCAATATTGTCCCCTTTCCTTCTTCTACCCTTCTAACTTTCTCCCTTTCCTTATATTATCCCTTATCTCCTCCAATCATAACTGCGCTAAAAAATTACCCCCATCTCCGCAATCTCTCCTCGAATAGCTAAGTCCTTTTTCCTGCCCTACCTCTTAACTTTTCCCTTTACATTTCCTTACCTTATTTTTACCTATTTTCAGTCTACCCATCATCATCCCCTCTACTTCTTTCTTCCCCTCCTCTCCCTCATACAAATCCTTTTTAATACACACCATCAATTCCCCCATTGCCCTTCCTTTTTGTTTCTCTTTTTTGCGGCCTGCATCGTCCATATATATCCATCCATGCTCTCCCTTACATAACTGCATCCCTTCTCCTCCACCCATGTTTCCATTAACACTATGACATCCCATCTTTTCAAACCAGCTCAAAAGTCCCTATCCTTATTTCTCATCCCTGTCACATTCACAGAAAAGGTATCTTCACTCCTTTCTCCTCCTCAACTTCTTTCCCCATTATCTCCCCTTTTCCTACTTTTTCCCTCATTCTTCTGCTCCCTATTTCCCTCTCTGTCCTTTCTTCCTCTCTCCTCCCCTGTACCCTTCATTACCTTCTCTCTCTCTTTTCTCATCCCTATGCTTATCCCCCTCTCCCTCCTTATCTCTCTTGCTCCCTTCCTATTCCCCCTGCTCCTGTTTCACTTTCCTTGTTCTCTTTTCCTCTTTACTCTTTTCTCCCTCATTACTCTTTTCCCCCTCCCCCCATTTCCTTCTCCTACCGTCTCTTAGCTCCTCCCGCTCTTCATCCCATTTCCACTCCTTCAATCCATATCCTTCTCCCGCCCCATTTTTGTTCTTCTCCCCTCCTTCATAACTACCTGTCTCATCATCCACCTCCTTCTTCTTCTCTTGCCAAGTAAAATCCTCCATCTTCTTCTCTTGCCAAGTAAAATCCTCCTCAATCTATATTTCCCTTCCCTTCGGCTTCTATTTATTTCTTGTTATATTTCCCTTATCTTCTAAACTCTCCAACGTAACCACCGTTATCCCAACGTCATCCACCCCCTCTCGTGTTTATCCGCCTCTGTCTTTCTTATTTTCTTTATCTTCACCCTCACTTCTATTCTTCCTATTATTTCTTTAATCTTCTACTCTATTTTCCCTTCTCCTACATTTAACCCTTTTATAATAATATTTCTTTTCCTTTCCTCTCTCTCTCCCGCCATTCATTCCTTCTCTCCAATCTTCTTATCCTTTTCATCCATCTTTTATTCCCTTCTCCACTTCCTATCTCACCACCATCCCTCTTTTCCGCCTTCCTCTTTCCACTCTCCTGCCTCTACCATCACTTTACCCAATTTCCTTTCTAACGTCTTGATCTTCTCCATCATTTCCTCCTTTTCCTTCTTCCATCTTTCCTCCCTTTCCTTCAACTCCTCTTTTATCTTCTCCTTCCTTTCTCATCATCTCCTTTTGTCCCTCAGCTACCTCTCTTATTTCTTTTTTAACTCCCCTTAACCTTTCCCTCATTTCCTCCCTCATCTCTTTTAACATCTCCTTCATCTTCCCCTCCTCCCTCATTTTAATCGTCGATCTTATCATCTTCTTACTTCTCCTAAAAATTTCCTCTATCTTCTCTTCCTCTACCTCTCCTTCCTCTCCCCCTCTCTTCCTTTTTAGG